AAGGAGAAGCTTTGGTCACCACTGAAGCACAGCTCCCAGGGAATCCAGAAAGGTGGACAGGAAAGGGATGGATATGGTGGCAATGCAGACAATTTCAGTTTGGTTTATTGGTTTGTCTTTGGTTTAGTTGCTGTTGTGGAGAATTTTTGCTTTATGGTGGGGGGTTAGAGGGAGTTGGGTGTTTCATATGTAAATAAATAAATCAAGGCCATGTTTTTTTCTATACATGAACTACTCATTCTTAGCATCTAGCCCAGGTAAGGCTCCTACTAACTTACAACCTCAGGTGGGTGGCAGAGCCCTGCCCTGCACAGCAAAGCACAGACCACCAGCAACAGCAATGCAAAAAACTGTGACTTACTTGTATACAGGTGTATGGACATTCCTTCTCCTTCTGTCTCATGATCAGCTGCTACAGCAAATACTGTGAAGTTGTACGGTGTCCCAGGGATTAAATCAGTAATTTCTGCTTTGGTTTCATTGGATGTCAGGTTCTTCATAGGTATACCATTTGTCCCATTTAGAACCTCTATCCTGTACGTGTAGGTGTTGGAAGCGCTGTCATTCACCCCCCATTTTAAGGTGACAGAAGTCACACCAATGGTTTCTGCCTCGAGATCAACAACTGGGCTGGGCTCTGTCAAAGGCAAAGCAACAACTCATTAACCTGCAAGAACATCTACTCACAGACATGGACACAAGAAACAAAGCCACACCTCTGCCTCACTGGGCAGCTAAAAGAGAGCTGAGGACAGATCATTCTTAGAACATTAATGTCCCTTTGACACTCCAAAACATAAGCACAGGCCATCACAGTGATTGAACCCCTAAGGCTTCTTCTGGGAATCCAGAGGTGGGCAGGAAAGTGCTAAGAGTGGAATGGAATATTTACTTAGAAGGGACCTACAGCTACCCTCATCCAACTACCTGACCACCTTGCCTCACCAAATGCTAAAGGGTATTACTGAGAGTATTGTCCAAATGTCTGAAACACAGAAGGGCTTGGGGCACTGACTACCTCTCCAGGAAGCCTATTCCAGTGTTTGAACCCTCTCTGTCAGTAAAGAAATGCTTCCTAATGTCAAGCCTAATACTCCCCTAAGGCAGCTTTGAACTGTTCCCACTCATCATATCCCTGGACACCAGAGAATAGAGATCAGCCCCTCCCTCTGCATTTCCCTCCTCAGGAAGCTGAGGAGAACAATGAAGTCACCCCTCAGTCTCCTTTTGTTCAAACTAGATAAGCTCAAAGCCCTCAGCCACTCCTTACAGGACAGGCACTCCAGCCCTTGTACCAGCTTTTCTGCCCTCCTCTATGGGCATTCAAGGCCCTTCGCATCCTTCTTCAACTGTGGGGCCCAGAACTGCACCCAGTACACATTCAACTCCTGCATCCATACTTTTGATAAATATGTTGACCAGCCCTAGGATTGAGCCCTGAGGGCAGCACTGCTGGTGACTGCTCACCAGCCAGACACAACCCCACTCACTGGAATCTTGGGAGCCCTGCCCTGCAGCCAGCTCCACACCCAGCACACCATGAAGCCCCTCATCCCACAGCTGGACAACTTGTCCAGAAAGATGCTGTGAAGGGCAGTACCCAAAGTCTCACTAAAATGCAGAAAAACTACATTCACCACCTTCCCTTCCCCACCAGGTGGGTGACATTACCACAGAAAGATCAAATTAATTAAAAGGGACTTTCCCTTTGTGACACACGTGATGGCACCTGATGACTGCATTATCCTTTAAACACATTTCAACAGGACTCAGTACAACCTTCTCCATAATTTTTCCAGGAACTGAGGTTGGTCTAGCAGGCCTGCAGGTCCCTGGGTCTTTCCTCCCACCCTCCTGGGGTGGCAGAGACCTCCCCAGGCTCCCAAGGCCTTTGGCAGCTGATGGAGAGGGGTCCTGCTGTAACACCAGTGAGATCCTTCTGCACTCAGGGATGAATCCCAACAGATTCCATCAACTTGTGAACATTCAGCTGATACAGGAGATCCCTCACAATTTCAGGGTCAAAAGGGGAAAGCCACTGTCCCAGATCTCATGGGCCTCCAGCTCTGGGGATCGGGAACACCAAGGTTTGTCAGTATCACCAAAAACTGAGGCAAAACACACATTGAATGCCTCAGCTTTTTCTTCATCCCTATTAGACAGGTGACCATCTTCAACAAGGATCAGGCCACTGTTTTCTTTAGACTCCCCTTGCTATTAATATACTTCAAAAAGCCTTTCCTGTTATCTGAAAGAGCACTGGCCAGTTTCAGCTGTAACAAGCTCTGGCCCTTGGTGTCTTCCTCATGCATAGATGAATCACAGCTCTGTAATCCCCTGAGAGGCCTGACTTCACTTTCAGAGCTCATACAATTTCTTCATCCTCTGGAGCTCCACAAGGAATTCCCTGTTCATCAAAGCTGGTTTTCTGCCCCAATTGCTTGACTTTTGACATAGTGAAAATGCCTGTTCCTGTGCTTCTAAAAGTCAGTTCTTAAAAACTGAACAGCACTCATAGATTCCTAAGCCATCAAAAGCAGATTCCCAGGGTAGGCTGCTAAGTAGTGCCCTGAACAGCTTAAACTTTCCTGGACTCCAGGAGAGCAACTCTGCTGTCACTGTTTATTCATTACATTGTAAATTTGAAACTTAGTAATTTAATGATTACCATAGCCAAGTGAGCCACCTACCATCTTCCATGAGTCCTACTCTATTTAAAAATACCAACTCTAAGAGGGTATCCTTCCTAGTTGGCTCACCATTTGTGACAAGAAATTATCTCCCACATGAAGAGATATGAGGACAAAGAGGGAGACAAAGCAGGGTGGATTATGTTTGCCTGGGTTTTCTTTTTAAAACCAAGGATATATTTCTTCCACACCTAAAGACCCCACTGCTTACTAGACATTCCAGATAAGGCTCCAGCAATAAGACATCAGATCTATACACACAACAACTTTACATTTTAGTCCTCAAGCAGTTAGGAAGAACTTTGAGCTGTCCACCATTTCCTTACTTGTATACAGGTCTGTGGACCTTCCTGCTCCTTCTGTCTCCTTATCAGCTGCTACAGAAGATACTGTGAATCAAAGCTATGTTTCTTCTATACATGAAAAACCCATTTTTAGCCTTTTTATTAAAGGCTTCTATAATTACCTGGCCCAGGGAAGGCTCCT